CTATACGTGTGGCAATCGACCGGATTCTGCCGTGGCGATAAGCTCTCGTAATATACACCTGCGAGAATTTCGCGCGCACAGGTATTGTAGCATTGAATACTTATATTCGAATGTTTGAATATACATTATATCTCTAATGAGAACCTCGTTTCCTGTTGCATTGAGAGTTGCTGGTTTTGATCTCAATAAAAATGAATTTATAATCCACTCATAATTTTTTCGAATTGATTCTTGAGCATCTTTTGGTAAGTATAAATTCAAATTTTGAAGCAAATAATTTAGGTGTTCTTTAATTATTTCTAATAATAATTCATTCATTGTTAAATTGTTTTCTTATAAAAAGTTTGAAGTCGTTGAAAATCATGACATGATTTTATTGTCGACATTTCTCATTTTTTTCGTCTTTCCGTGCACTCTACTATATTCACTATTAGTGATTTTATAAGAGTTTCAGAGAAGGTGTGTAGTTTGCCACCAAGAACCAGTTTATAACTTATTATGTACGATACTTTCAGTGATTTTTCGGAATGTGTCTTTACATGAGACCCAAACGTTTTCTGAGTTGCATGGAGCTCATTCAACTCATTCTATCTTCTTTTTTTTTAAATAGTTTTCAGTTTTATTTATGAAATCAGGATGTGTTTCAAAATGCTGTTTAATCTTAGCAGAAAGTATTGAGCTATTAGGCAAAACTTTATTACATATCACACACTGAGGACATTAAGGTTGTTTCGAAATATCGTCGTTTCGTACTGTCAAAAATTCTAAAATTCGATAATTATATACAATTTTCTAATCGGGATTTCACGCAGTATACATATCGGTTAATTATGACATACAAGTCTTTATGAAATTTGTATTCAATTTAAATAACGAACATTTTTTTAAATTTTTTGTGGTGTTACAAACGGAGCCCTTGGTAAGCAAGGGCTTCGCGGAGCATAGTTTGGGAACCGTTGATGTAGACGAACGGTATAATATATCTCATTCATCGTGTACATTTTCTAAAGTGATAAATTAATTTTTCATCATTCAGTATACTTTTGTATCTTATTTATCGGGCAGCCTACGTAAAAGTTCTTCTCTTTTATTAAAACTTTAACAACTTTCGGCGTATTCTGTATAAAAATATTTTTTATTATATAAACCTGAAACGTCCATACATGTGTTGATGTACAGGATATTGCAGTTCGTACAAGAATTTAAACAATTTACGCTGGAGGCATTTTTTTTTTCTCTTTTGCGCATCAAACTGTAATACTTTTCTTGAACATTATTTGATAAAAAATAAAAGTTCAAGGATAAAAAATGCATTTCTTGCACGATGATGATCCACATCGTAAAAAATAATAAAAGGAAAATATTACCCATACATAAGTTATTATAGAGCCTACATACATACAATACCATACAATAGGTATTGTATAGTACATAATGTATATGTACTACATATTATTATGAATATATATATATATATATATATATTGGTTATATATAAATAGCTTATAATAAACTTTATGGGACATACTGTTCAATTTACAGCGTATAGTAATAAAAGTAGCTAGAATCGCGGGCAATCGCACCTTACGTACATACTTATCGGAGTAAAACTACGATACATGATATGTGTTGCGATTTTAAAATTGAACATTGGAAAATAGGAATTCTTCATTATTTTCTCGTATTATATATAATTATCTGAATTCAATATTTAAGCTCAATGGTCTACGGGTTTTATTGGGGAAAAAAAACTTATAGATATATCTAAACACTATATTTTGTCATGACGTTATAAGCACGTTATAAGCACTTCTGTGATGGACGAAAAAAATATTGCGACTAGGATATCCAAACACGGGTCGTTGAAATACTAACTAAAGACCGCCAATCATAATTATCACGGATAGCGTACAAAAGCTTTGACGTATCTGACGTTTCACTAGACCCTGTCCCTGACAACCTCACTCGATCATTTTGAAACTCTAATTGCTCACTGCAGTCAATCCTGTGCAGTCCTTTTATTTTGGCCAATAAATGTTGAACGTTTAAGATTTCATATAAATCAATGTGATTGGATATTCAATCATTTTTATTGTTCTTTTTTTGTTTTGGAAATGATCAAAACTTATTATACGTGATTCACGCACGACTATTGTTTCGTTTTTGAAACCCAACAAGTTCATCCACGTTTTTGATCTTGATATTGATATACACGTAAGACGCGGTCCGGTGCAGTAGCTACAGATGTGCAGAATTAATTCGTGCGCATGTTAATGCAGTGGCCTTGAACGATTTGCGCAAGCTCGTGGACGTCCCTGATTTGCAGGATCGAGAACCCACGCGAAAATAATACGCCAAAAAGTAACCGCAAATGATTGACCACTGTTGTCCGGGCCCCGAGTCCGGTACGTTTGCGTCGAGTGTCATATTTTCGGCAATCGTTTTTACTCTCATTGTCACTCTCATATCGTGACTGTTACGTCTTCCTTTATTATGTCTACTTTATGTCTTCTTTCTTTGTGTTCCAGGAGCGCAGTCGATCGGAGAGACAACAGCCACGCGGATGGACGAGTCCGGCGACGATTACGTGCTAACGCCGTTGGCTGAGGACGCGGATGGAGGCGCAGAGGACGATGGGTCCGTGGTGGCGGCCGAGGACTACGTGCAATCGCTGGTCACCATCGAGTCCAACTGGGCCAACGGTAAGTAACTTGTCGGATTTTTTTATTCAGATCCAGTGATTTGTAACCATTATTAATTCGAATAACTATAGTGCCTATATTTGTATACAGCAGTATAATCACAATCAGTTGATAGTGCAGTGCTTAACGTTTGCTTGCCAACGTATAAAAATACATTAAAATAGAAAAATAACGTTTTATTCTAGTTTCGATACACACTTTCCAACACATACAATTGAAATTAATAATTTTATTTATTGTTTGATACCATTTTGATTAGTAAAAAAAGAAATAAAAAACTAACCGACACATTTCTTCCCCTTTCAACTTTTAGCCCAGGGCTATAGCCCTCTCCCCTTGATCAGGCCCTGGAAAATCGACATATTATTTCTGAAAACAAACGTCTGGTGTACGGTTCAGGCATATGGGCCGGTCTGAGTCCGTGTCCGACGTGACATAACTTAATGCAAATGAACGTTGTTTCTCTTAATGAGATAAAATAACAATTTATCGGCGATCGCGCGATACGCCTTACAAGTTATAAGTTAACAGTTTGCGACTAGTCGAGAGCTGCTGCTAACATTTAGAACATTCACCACTCTTAGCACACCCACCCTTCTTTGCTCGGGCCTCAACCCTTCAGATTTACCCTCCCGAGCATACACCGCAAAAGTTCAGCATGTAGAACATAAGATTTGTATCGCACGCAGCGGTACACATCACACATTCGTCGTTAGAGGATATCTGATTGCGAGCGGTACTCAGCAAATAATAATAATAAGTGAGCATGAAAGCCTTTTTTTTCTTTTTACTTAAGTTTTTACTTCGCTTTCGTTTTAAAGTTAAAATCCGAGTTAAACATCGAAAAATCGGTGTTTAGCCGTTCCGGATTTAACATACTGCACAATACAAACTGAAAAAAGTACGAATTTTTCTGTTATTTTTTTTTCCTTCCCTCACACCGTTTACTTTTGACACGTTCGGTTTGCTTGTATACTCGACGACGACCGTAATAATAGTACGATGTATAAAACCGTATCTTTACGCACAGCGAGTGACTTTTATAAATCAAATATGTCGGAGCGAAAGAAGCTTAAAAGCGAGTATTTTCGATTTGTATTTTATTTTTCATTCAATCATGACCCGAAGAAGGTTTGACTTTTTTTTTACCAATATTTTATACGTAATGTTTAACAAAATGTTAAAAAGGAAAAAAACAATAAATAATTATTATTATTGCATACCTCATAAATATATGAATTCATGGTTCGTATTTTCATGGATTTTCATATCGATCTTGCCAAGTTATGTTTAATACTACTTGAAAAAGAAATTAAACTCTAGATGCCTGGATTAAATATGTAAAATCATTTCGCATTATTTTTGTATTTTTGAAGGGTTTGAGTTATTTGGGATGTTTATACAATTTCCTATTTTATACTATAAGTCATATTTTTTATATTTCTATAGAAATATAAAGTATTTATTTTTTTATACACTATGAAAAATATAATTGGAGTGGAACGAAGCTTAGAAATATTATGTAAATAAAAAATATTTGTTTACTAAATCGTACAAAAATTAGGAGCTATATATTCTAGGTCCAATCCTTAATAAGCTAAAAATAGCTTATCCTAAGCTATTTTTGAAACAAAATTATTTAATGATTTAAAATCAATCTCATACAATTAAAGTTCCATTTATTTTTGTGAACAATTAATAAACTCAGAAATACTCAAATTTCTTTTATCAATTTCACGGATTATATCAAAACATTCAATTATTTTTCGCATCACATAGTAACGTGCCATTTTATGCAATTTTTAGTGCATATATTTATTGTCATCAAGACGCGCTTCTATACCGCTCGTTTTACAAAATTTATTTAATACATGAGTTCGAGGGTTCGTATCAGGTACGACTCCAAGGAGGGGGAGGCACTGGGGCCATGCCCCCCCCCCAGGCTTTTTTAAAAATTTAAAAAATATATAATGACTAATATGGATAAAAATATGTAATTTTCAGCTCTTTGTTGTACCTATACAATGCGTATAATAACGATAAACGACATATGACCGATCCGTCGCGCACCCGAACCTCACACGTTTTCCCGTTTTCAGCCGATGATAATATTGCTATGTCGTCACGGTTCAGCGCGATAGAATTAAATGAGCATTTCAAACCGTTTTGTTGCACGTAGTTAATCCGATACATCGGTTGGAATCGCAGTTAGACTGTATAGTATTACTACAGAAGTTGTTTATTATTAAAACACAAAACCGTGCGCTATAAGGTAACAAAAATATGTAACACTAAACCGAAAACGATGAAACACGCATGCGTCGTTTTTCAAAAAGGTTTCGTTTGGCGATTTCACTACATTGCATAATACTAATAATATCAACGGACCAGAATATTTATCTATATATATCACATAATATTACATAATAGTAACCTAACCTAATCATCGTAATAATAGTCCGCTCAATACGTTTGCGATTGTCGTGTCTACGTACGTTTCTCGAATGTCGACGGATCTATCTCAAATATTATTAAAATGCTTCGAAAATATTAGAAAAACCTGGATTTCGATATGAAATATTAAAAACAGTGTATTTGATTGTTCAATTGTTTTGTCGTTATAACAACCTTTCGGTATCAAAAATACGGGACACGTATACTTTGTTGACAATATTCAGTTTTATTTATTAGCATGCCAATGGAATATTATGAAATATTGTTGATTTGTATAGTTCCTTAAAATTAAAAAATAATAATATACATGTTTGTAGTACAAAATTAAGTACCCATAAAAACAAATTCTAACGAACGTACCTATATTAAAATATTAACAATAAAATAAGTGTAGCGCTCTCACTTGTATTATAATATTCATAGCATTGATTAAGTATGCTTAAATAAAACGAATAATCGTTCGGTTGTAACTTGTAGATATACGGTACAGAAAAAGCACGGACCTATAGATTTTCAATATCAGGATCAGGGCCGCGTTTAACGGGGGGAAATTTCCCCGGGGCAGCAAATATTTTATTGTCACATTTGATAGTTTTTAAATTTATATGTGAGATATAATTAATAATTATAGAATACAAGTATAAGTAATAATGTGCTATTTAAAATATACATAATATAGATATTAGTAATTTGTAAATTGATTGCTCTTGTATAAATAACGCTTCTATCCCACCCGTTAATACGCTACTGACTGTAATTAATAGTGTGTTGTATACAATTTTAAATTTGAATTTTCTTAAGGGCTGCATATTTAAATTTTCCCCGAGGCGGCTTGACAGATTAACACGGCACTGATCACGATATTCGTGTATTATTTTAAGAAACACTCAAACACAGGACGTACTGCGTCTGAGCGCTCATTCAGCCAGGACGCGGGACGAATCGTATAAAAACAGGACTGTCCCGTGAAACACGGGAAGGGTGGTCAACCCTGCGATCTCATGATCGCGTGTTGATATGTATTTATCCACAACTATTTCCACAAACGTAACGTGTTGCATACACGAAACCGAGTTGAAATCGGCAATCGTTGGTGCATCGCAACAATTACGAACATCAACCGCCAAACGATTACGTGTGAAAACGAATTATTCGTTCTTTTCCGCGCAATTGTTCTCTTTAAATATTTGTTCAGACCTTTGATTCGCGTTACGTACATTTTATTCGTTGACCGTTGTATCGATAAATTGTACGCGCCAGCTCGGTGATATGATGAACTTATCGGTTACATAATCTATTTATTTATGCACCTAATTACGTGCGAGTTACGGTTATTACTGGCGATTCGTGGAAGCGTGGTGAACGTTATTTATAACTCGTTATCTATTGTTGCAATGTTCAAATATTTGTTGTTGGCGCTACCGGTGCAAATATTTTATTTTCTAAGGTCAAAATTCAAACGATAAGAATATTTCACGCACACACACAAATATACATTTGATGAACATGCCGCGATGTACGCCAATGAATGAAAAAATAAGAAAAATAGTACCTCGTTATTACGATGAAAACGGAAATGATGTAATAGGTTTGTTTTTTTTTTTTTATATATAACGTTGTGTTACCGTATGTCCACGCCTGGATGCCGTATTGGTATACGCGCATATATATATCGCGGTAAATAATAATAAAACATCGTCGACGGACGTGCCACTAGCAACGCACATCGATTTCACCAGCCGTTGCAATAATAGCCGTCCCGTTGACGCGTGACGACGTCAAGTACGTTCGACGTGAACATTTTACACCGCCAGTGGTACGGTCGAGTTCTGCGCGAACGAATGGCTAACAAACGCGCGAGTGTGGTTAGTTCATGGGTCGAACCGATTTTGGTAACGATATAGTGGCACGAGAAGCGTAAAACGACACCACAGGGCCGTTCACAGGGGAGCAACGGGACCGTTTGCCCCAGGCCCCATTGTTAGAATATTTTTTAAGGGGCCTCATAAAGTCTTGATCTATAGCTAATAATTAATAATAAAGCCTTCGATTACGTTGAGCAATTTTAAACGCTGCGTGTTGGCGATTAAAGTCGCGCGCGTACGAGCGTGTAACGACTTGTCCGATTACATTGGGCGATTCAATTATAAATAATATGAACAATATTCAATTCAGTTATGTAAGTATGGGATGCAGTACACGAATTTAAATGAGCTTGATTGGTTAATGTTTGGAAAATACGTTTTATAAAAATACGTAAGAATTTTGTTATTCTCAGTGAGAATTTTGTTTATCATATCTTATTATTATGGTCGAAGGGCTCCCAAATTAATTTGTCTCTGGCCCCAAAAAACCTTGGAACAGCCCTGCAACGCCAACCCGATTGCGGGAAGGAAATGAGAACGAAACCGTAGTGTGTCATATGTTTTGTTCGCGACTAGTTACACGAATACCCGGAAATGCTCTAACGGTTAGAGTCTAACCTAATCTAACGACTGTCTTGCGGTGAAATTGCAACGAGAGGAATACATGCGACAAAAGCATAC